AAAAGTTCTAGAGGCATGGGCAAGAGCAGAATGAAAACAAGGACTTAATCCACTTTTATACAGGTTAATATTGCTCAGAAATGCTATAGCTAGATGTTACTACATCTTCTATTACAACAGTTAACATGAATGCCTCCTATATACTAGCACTTTCAAGCCCATTTAATACTCACAACAACCTTATGAGGTAAAATTGTAAAACAACTTTAGTCATAAAGAAAGAATCAAAAACATTAAGTGACTTGAGCCAAAATAACTTAACAAGTAACCAAAGTGGGGTTCAAACTCAAATCTAGCTATTAAGAAGTCTACATTCTTAGCCCCTATTCCAGAAGTTCTCAAACTTTTTGGTTTCCTTATACTCTTCACATTTACTGAGGATCTCAAAACAGCTTTTATTTATATGGGTTGTATATATCAGTATTTGATGAACACACATTAAAACTGGGAAATGCTCTAAATATTTAATTGTGAAAGGCAACAAATTGTACTTGTATTTTCACAGAAGCTCAAAGAAAACTTCAGAATTTCAAAATAATGAATACCGGACTATAGTGAGGTTACAGATTACAGAAGGTATAACCAAAGATAGCTACTAAAAACATAATACTGAGTACTGAAAACTGAATTAAATCTCTGAGAAAGCACACATTTATACACTAAATCTACCACCTTAGGAAATTCTAGAAAATACAAAACACCACAAACACATTCCATTGGGTCTGAGAGAATTATCATCACACATCATATAGTTAATTCTATACAGTTCCACTAAATTTCTGGAAAGTCTCCACTTATTAGAGAATGAGAGAAAAAAAGCCAAATAATAATATTACTATGAAAATAGTTTTGACTTCACAGACCCCTCAATAAAACAATCTTTGGGTATATCCATGGATCATATGCTGAGAACCACTGTTCTAGACCATATCTTATTTAAAACATGGCTTATAAAAGTCAATTATGTCATAATAGTATGTACTTTTCAAATGATAATAGGGGATAGGGGAAGTGGCTCATGCCTATAATCCTAATACTCTGGGAAGCTAAGGTGGGTGGATTAACTGAGCTCACCGGGTACAAGACCAGCCTGAGCAAGAGCAAGAGCAAGACCTCGTCTCTAAAAACAGCCAAGTGCTCTGGTGGGTACCTGCAGTCCCAGCCATGTGGGAGGCTTAGGCAAAAGAATGCCTTGAGCCCAGGAGTTTGAGGTTGCTGTGACATGTGACGCCATGGCACTCAATTGAGGGCAACATAGTGAGACTCTATCTCAAAAAAATAAATAAGTAAAAATAAAAATAGCCAGGCATTGTGGTGGGCACCTATAGTCCCAGGTACTCAGGAGGCTGAGGCAAGGAGATCACTTGAGCCCAAGAGTTTGAGGTTGCTGTGAGCTGTGACACAATAGCACTCTATCGAGGGCTACAAAGTGAGACTTTGACTCAAAAAAAAAAAGTCTGATCCCCAAAATATAGCATTAGGAAAATGAAGAAATAGGCTCAGAGTCTTTAGCTTAGTGGCTAGAGTGCCAGCCACACACACCAGAGCTAGTGGTTCAAACCCAGTCCAGGCCTGCCAAACAATGACAACAACCAAAAAACTGCCGGGCATTGTGGCACCTGTAGTCCTAGCTACTTGGGAGGCTGAGGCAAGACAATAGCTTAAGTCCAAGAATTTGAGGTTGCTGTGAGCTCTGATGTGACAGCACTCTACCAAGGGTAAAATAGTGAGAATCTGTCTCCAAAAAAAAGGAAATAAGTCACAGACTCAGAAAAAGTATTTGCAACACATAAATCTAATAAAGAACTCATATCCAGAATATTAACAGAACTACAAATCAACAATGTAAAAGATGAACAGATAAACAAAAAAAAGGGGGGGGGAGAGGAAGGGTGAAGCTTGAACATACACTTTATCAAAGATGATCTACAAATGACCTGATAAGCAGGTGAAAAGGGGCTTAACATCATTAGTCATCAGAGAAATACAAATTAAAATCATGAGATACCACTTTACACTAACTAGAGGACTAATATATCAAGGCAAGGAACAAAGAGCAAGTGCAACTCTCATCTTACACTGCTGAAGGAGTGTAAGATGGTTAAATACTTTGGCAATTTCTTTAAGAATTATGCATGTATTTACCTTATAATTTAACAATTACTCCTTTGTATTTTCTCAAGATGAATAAAAATATGTCCACATCAAGATTTGTGCAGATATATTTATTGCAGCCTCATTCATAATAGCAAAAAACTGAAAACAACCTAAATGTCCATTTGAAGTAAATAAACAAATTCCCATGTATATATGCACAATGGAATATATTCAGCAATAAAAATAAACTATGGAAAATACTTCTACGCATGGAAGAAAACTAGAATGAATATGCTAAAACAGTAATAATTAGTCCAGGCACAGTGGCTCACACCTGTAATCCTATCACTCTGGGCAGCCAAGGTGAGTGGACTGCTTGAGTTCAGGAGTTCAAGACCAGCCTCAGCAAAAGCCAGACAACCCCCCCATCTCTAAAAATAGCCAAGTGTTGTGGCAAGCACCTGTAGTCCCAGCTACTTGGGAGGCTGAGGCAAGAGAATCTCTTGAGCCCAAGAGTTTGAGGTTGCTGCGAGCTATGACCCACAGCACTCTACAGAGAGCAACCAAGTGAGACTCTGCCTCAAAAAAAAAAAAATTTGTTTTTAGAAACTATACAGAGACTATTTCACACCTAATCCAGTGCTCCTAATTTAAAGTCCTGTGGCAAAGATCTATCAGATGCTTGTGAAATAAAGATTTCACTTTGAATGGACATATACCAGCTTGCTATTCTATTCCTATTAGAGCTTTAGCAGAAACCAATGAACTTGATTAATATGGGTAAGCATATATATGTCCTTCAAATAATTACCACAACAGAACAAGATTGAGAAATTTTAGCCAATAGTTCTGCTTTAATATAGGTCTTAAAATGAAGTCTTTTCCCAAGTTAAGATGATGCAGCTAGGTGGTTAAAAAAAATTTTTTTTTGAGACAGACTCTTACTTTGTTGCCCTTGGTAGAATGACGTGGTGTCACAGCTCACAGCAACTTCAAACTCTTGGGCTTCAGTCATTCTCCTGCCTCAGCCTCCCCAGTAGCTGGGACTACAGGCGCCCACCACAATGCCTGGCTATTTTTTTATTGTAGTTATTGTTCTTTAGCAGGCCCAGACCAGATTTGAACCCACCAGCTCTGTTATATGTGGCTGGTGCCCTAGCTGATGAGCCACAGGCACTGAGCCAAAAAATTCTTAATCTATAAAAAATGAGAAAAGGCTATTCTTATAGATGACAGGCTAAAAAGCTGAGACCACCAATCACTTGACACCCAACCATGGTGCTTGAAACTCCTTTTCTACTTTTACCTAGTGAGGTTGCTTGGTTCATGGTTGCTGAGAGCCCCTCAAAATTCCAATTTGACTTAGGATGGCACAAATATTAACAGGAGTTTCCTGAATATGATGTTCCAATGGCTACATAGATTCCATGGAAGAGAAATTCAAGAGATACAATTTATTTAGAATTATAAAAACTTTCAACAAAGCTTCTCTACAGAATTTTTAAAATACAGAATCTGGTGCTCACTTTGGCAGCACATATACTAAAATTAGAACAATATATGCAAATTAGTATGGCCCAGCACAAGGATGACATGCAAATTTGTGAAGTGTTTCATATTTTTTAACATTACTCACAACAGCAAAAATACTGAATCAAACTAAGTGTCCATCATAGATGAATGGATAAAGAAAATTTGGTATATATACACAATGGAACACTATTTGGACATACAAAAGAAGGAAATCATGTCATTTGCAGCAAAAGGGAAGGAACCAGAGATCATTATTTTGAGTGAAGTAAGTCAGGCACAGAAAGAAAAATATCACACGTTCTCACTCATGAAGTGGGAGCTAAGAGAGTGGTTTTCATAGAAGTATAGAGTAGAACGATAGGGTTGGGGTGGAGTAAACACAAGTTGGTTAATGAGTACAAACATACAGTTAGAAAGAATTCTAACATTCAATAGGAGAGTAGGGTGGCCAGGTATGTTGGTTCCTGTCTATAATCCCAGTACTTTGGGACGCAGAGGCCGGTGGCTTGCCTAAGCTCACAAGTTTGAGACTAGCAAGGGCAAAAGTGAGACCCCCGTCTCTACTAAAAACAGAAAAACTAGGGCAGTGCCTGTGGCTCAAGGAGTAGGGCATCAGCCCCATGTACCAGAGGTGGCAGGTCAAAAACTGCAAAATATAATAATAAAATAAACACTATTTTCTACAAAAAAATTAGAAAAACTGTAGCTCAAGAAGCTAAGGTGCCAGCCACATACACCAGAGCTGGCAGGTTCAATCCAGTCTGGACCCACCAAACAACAATGACAACTACAATAAAAAAATAGCCAGGCATCGTGGTAGGTACCTGTAGTCCCAGCTACTTGGGAGGCTGAGGCAAGAGAACTGCTTAAACCCAAGAGTTTGAGGTTGCTGTGAGTTGTGATGCTATAGCACTCCACCCAGGGCGACAGCTTAAGACTATCTCAAAAAATAAAAAATAGAAAATAGAAAAACTGAAGCAAGAGGATCACTTGAGTTGGCAGTTGCTGTGAGCTATGATGCCACCGCATGCTACCCAGGGCAACAGCTTGAGACTCTGTCTCAAAATAAATAAATAAATAAATAAATAAGTAAAAATAAAAATAGCTGGGTATTGTGGCAGGCTCCTGTAGTCCCAGCTACTTGGGAGGCTGAGGCAAGACGATCACCCAAGAGTCTGAGATTGCTGTGAGCTATGATGCCACAGCACTCTACTGAGGATGACCAAGTGAAACTGTCTCAAAAAAAAAAAAAGAAAAAAATAGAGTAGGGTGACTGTGGTTAAAAAAAAAAAAATGTATTGGTGCAGCGCCTGTGGCTCAAGCGGCTAAGGCGCCAGCCACATACACCTAAGGTGGCGGGTTCGAATCCCCAGCCCGGGCCCGCCAAACAACAATGATGACTGCAACCAAAAACTGGCCAGGCGTTGTGGCGGGTGCCTGTAGTCCCAGCTACTTGGGAGGCTGAGGCAGGAGACTCGCTTGAGCCCAGGAGTTGGAGGTTGCTGTGAGCGTGATGCCATGGCACTCTACCCAGGGGGATAGCTTAAGGCTCCGTCAAAAAAAAAAAAAAAAAGTACTGTAGATGATAGTATAAGGTCCAGTAAAGGAGGGGAAAGTGTGTATTTCAAAATTGCTATAAGAAGATTTGAAATACTTCTAACACATAGAAATGATAAATACTCAAGATAATCGACACCCCCAAATACTAACTTGATGATTATAGTCTATACATGTAACAAAATATCACATGTATTCCATAAATATGTACCAATACTATATATTAAAAATAAGATAAGCCAGGCAAGGTGGTTTACACCTGTAATCCTAACATTCTGGGAGGCCAAGGCAGGTAGACTGCTTGAGCTCTGGGGTTCAAACCAGCCTGAGCAAAAGTGAAACCGCATCTCTCCTAAAAATAGAAAAACTAGCTGGGCACTGTGGCAGGCACCTGAGGTCCCAACTACTCAGGAGGCTGAGGCAAGAGGAGCCCTTAACCCTAAGAGTTTGAGGTAGCTGTGAACTATGATGCCACAGCACTCTACCCAGGATGACAGAGAAAATAAGATAAAAATATATCTTATATATCCCCACAAAAATAAGATAAAATATATAATCTGAAAGAATTGTAGGACATATGAAGAAATGGTTAAAAATAAGGGCAGATAGAGAACTAAAAATTGACCTCCATTCGATCCTACAATTCCTTTATTAGGTATATACCCAGAAGATAAAAAAATCACATTACAATAAAGATATTTGTATCAGAATGTTTATTGCAGCTCAATTCATAATTGCCAGGTCATGGAAGAAGTCCAAATGCCCATCGATTCACAAATGGATCAATAAACTGTGGTATATGTACACCATGGAACACTATGCAGCCCTAAAGAAAGATGGAGACTTTACCTCCTTCATGTTTACATGGATGGAACTGGAAAATGTTCTCAGCAAAGTATCACAAGAATGGAAGAAAAAGTATCCAATGTACACAGCCCTATTATGAAACTAATTTATAGATCTCAAATGAAAGCTACAACCTAATTCTAGCCTAAGAATATGGGGAGGGGGTGGGGAAAGGGAGGAGAGAAGGGCGGATGGGTGGTGGGAGGGTGACTGGAAAGATCACCTATATGGTCTAACAAGGGTACAAGTGAACTTTTCTAGAATTAGAGTATAAATGTTTTAACACAATAAGTAAATGACACAAAGTCTATGTTAACCAGTTTGATGAAAATATTTCAAATTGTATATGAAAACACGACACTGTACCCCATGTTTGCATTAATGTATACAGCTATCATTTAATAATAATAAAAATAAATAAATAAAGGGCAGAAGTAAATGGATTTATTCAGATGCCTATGTTTCCCACAGTACAATGTTTGGGACTGTTCCTGGTATTTTCATAAATGATATAGAAAACATGGAGTGACATCCTAAACAGAGGAGTTTAAACTGAGAAAGAGCTCACAAAGCCAAGTAAAGAAGTAGTATACTAATTAGCCACTGACCTGAGTAAACATGTGCAGAAATGCCTAGAAAAAATTAAGAAATCCATATAACGATTTCTAACTAGTTCTACCTAATAAAAAGTGATCCAAATCTATATTGATACCTCATTACATTAACTTATAATTTGGTAGGGAACTGGTAAGGCTGGGAACAGTGGCTCACGCCTATAATCCTAGCACTCTAGGAGGCTGACATGGATGGATAGCTTGAGCGCATGAGTTCGAGACCACCCTGAGCAAAAAGCAAGACCCCTGTCTCTACTAAAAATAGAAAAATTGAGGCAAGAGAATCGCTTGAGCCTAGGTGTTGGAGGTTGTTGTGAGCTATGAATGCCATGGCATTCTACCCAGGGCAACAGCTTGAGATTCTGTCTCAAAAAATAAATAAATAGGCTCAGGGTCCATAGTACAATGATTAGGCGCCAGCCACATACACCAAGGCTGGCAGGTTTGAATGTGGCCTGGGCCAGCTAAACAATAATGACAACTTCAACAAAAAATAGCCAGGTATTATGGCAGGGGCCTATAGTCCCAGCTACTTGGGAGGCTGAGGTAAGAGAATTGCTTAAGTCCAAGAGTTTGAGGTTGCTATAGGCTATGACACCATGGTACTCTACCAAGGGTGACAAAATGAGACTCTGTCTCAAAAATTTTTTTAAAATTAAAAATAAGTAACTGGTGAGTTAAATGTTACTACAGACATAAAAGTTAATATAAATAAATCAAAAGTTGCCAAGTATAGTGGCTCATGCTTGTATTACCAGCACCTTGGGAAGCCAAGGTAGGAGGATCTCTTGAGGCCAGGAGTTAAAGACTAGCCTGAGCAACATAGTGAGACCTCATCTTTACAAAAAAAAAAAAAAAAATTAGCTGTGTTTCTAGGCTGACTGCTGTGGCTCATGGCTATAGTCCTAGCACTACGTGAGGCCAAGGTGAGAGGAACGCTTGAGTCCAGGAGTTCAAGACCAGCCTGACCAAGAACAAGACCCTGGCTCTACCAAAATAAGTAAAAGTAGCTGGGCACAATGGTACATGTCTGTTATCCCAGCTGAGGAGGCTGAGCCAGGAGGATCACTTAAGCCTGGGAGCCTGAGGTTGCAGTGAGCTATGACGACACCACTGCACTCTAACCCAGACAGTAAGTTAAGCCCCCTGTGTCTGTAGAAAAATAAAAGAAATAAGTACATGTAAATAAAAACAATTAGCTGGGTATGGTAACCTGCACCTGTAGTCCTAGCTACTCAGGAGGCTGTGGCAGAAGTGCTTGAACCAAGGAGTTTGAGGTTGCAATGAGCCATGATCATACCACTGCACTCTATCCTGGATGACAAAGAAGACTGCCCGAAAAAAATATGTAATGCTTACTATATGTTGGTAACAAAAGATGAATACAAGTCATGGTGGGCATCTCTTGTAATTGCAGAGGTCAAATATGACTTGAGTATCACAATTTTAGTAGTTTTTTCCTTTCCTAAAACTGTAGGAAACCAGTATCAGGGACAATGTCTCCCCATCACCAATTGCATCAGGTACAAACAACTCAGCATGACTCATGCCCTTCAGAGTGTTTCTCAGATCCACTCCTCTTATTATGTTCCAGTAACACTGAACTATATAGGCAATACTGTTTTGAACTTGTGGTGCTGTTTCATACTTCTTTGCCTTTGTTTTTTCATTAAATCACAGCTGTGTACATTAATGCAGTCATGGGGTACAGTGTGTTGGTTCTATATATAATCTGAAATACTTTCATCAAACTGGTTAACATAGCCTTCATGTCATTTTCCCAGTTATTGTGTTAAGACATTTATATTCTACACTTAGAAAGATTCACATGTACCTTTCAAAGATGAACCATACTTCTTTGCCTTTGAACATGCCAATTCCTCTGCTTAGAATTTCCATCCTCATCCCCTAGCCTGCTTGGGAAATCATTAATGTTCCAATACCCAACTCAGCAGCTACCTCCTCTTAGAAGACTTTCTGCACTTCTCACTCTCCTTTTTCTTGCTTCTGTACTTTATACTTACTAAATTTCACTCATAACAATATAGCAAAATTAGTTGATTATATGACTTC